GTGAGTGGAGAAATGGTTTCCTTTATTCCCCACCGAGAACGGGACCTGGGCCTGAGGCCCTTTATGGGGCTCCTGGCTCTGACCTTCTGACCTTCTGAGCTATGCAGGCGCCCGAAGTTGAGAGCCGTGTTGGACTTCTCACTCACACGATTCTTTTTTTTTCCTGTTTTGTTAATTCTCACCGAGGATATTTTCCCATTGATTTTAGATAGAGAGGAAGGGAGAGAAAGTGGAAGAGAGACACACAGAGAGATCAACCTGCGAGAGACATATCCATCAGTTGCCTCCCCCATGCACCCCACCGGGTGGGGGTGGGGGTTGAACCTGCACCCAGGTTCAGTGCTCTTGACTGGGAATCGAACCCTGGACCTTCAGTTCATGGGGATGCGCCCACAACCAAGGGTACATGATCTTGATCGGAATCTACCCTGGGACCTATTCACTGAGCCAAACAGGTTTCAGCTACAGCTGTGCTTCTGACGGGGCGGATCCAGGCAGCGCGGGAGCAGAACAAGGAGACGGGAGTGAGCATGGCTTGCCTGCAGGCCAAGGCCTGGGCACCCCACAATCACCCCAGCCCAGCCCTGTCTGCGGTCCCGTCTGCAGCAGATGCCCGGCCGGGGAGGCTGGGGGCTGAGGATGCCGGACGGGGGCCATGGTCTCTGCCCGGCACGCTGTCCCTCCGCACAGCTGTTCCCGGGACTCCAGCTGGGGCCAGGGGCGTCCCCTTCCCCTTAGAAGCTGCTCACAGGGCAACGGGGGAGTCCCCCCAGCATCCTGCCCCTCTGTGCAAGCCCCCCCACCCCTGCAGCCCCTGCCTGGCCAGCCGCCCCCAGGCACGGTGCGTGGCGAGGAAATCTGTCCTGCACTCGGCATGGCTGGGCAGACTTTTTTTTTTTTTTTAATATATTTTATTGATTTTTTACAGAGAGGAAGGGAGAGGGATAGAGAATTAGAAACATCGATAAGAGAGAATCATCGACCAGCTGCCTCTTGCACACTCCCTACTGGGGATGTGCCCGCAACCAATGCACATGAATGACCTTGACCGGAATTGAACCTGGGACCCTTCAGTCCGAAGGCCGACGCTCTATCCACTGAGCCAAACCGGTTCCGGCTGGGCAGACTTTTTAAGGCCACGGGCCCGTCCGCACCCCCTCCGGTGCTGCCCGCTGGCCCGCCTCCCGCCCCTGGGGCTCCTCCATCGCGGCTATATTTATCCCCGCAGCCGCACGGGTCACGGCGAGGCCAGAAATAGCCCTGGAGACATCTCACGTGAGGATGACGGACAGGCCCCCCGCGCCCGGCAGGCCTCACCCCTGCACCTGTCGCCGGGCCGCGGGTAACGGGGAGCAGCTGGACGGGGCTGGAAGGCGCCGGAGCCAGATGGGAGCCACATAATCCCTCTCCCCCACCGGCCGCGGCCTCTGCTGTGACGCAGCTGACAAGTCCAGGAGGCGAGTGCCAGCTGCCGGCTGCGGGGACGCTGAGGGGACATGGTCTAACCAGCGGGGAGACAGAGCAGAGGCTCAAAGGGAGCGGGCACCAGGCTCTCCGATGCCCAGGCACACCCCACACAGAGCAGGGCACTGGCACCGAGGCTGGGCCCCAGGGGAGGTGCAGGCCTGCGGAAGGCACACTTGGTCTCCACTTACCGGCCACTCCCCACCTCCTGAAGGACGGACGGACGGACGCCCCAGGGGTCCCCTGGCTGGTCCCCTGGGGACCGGGTGCTGCTCCCACTCCTCAGCGGCCCGGACGGGGCAGACAGTCTGAGCACTCGTGCCGTGGTCGGCAAACTCATTAGTCCACAGAGCGGCAAACCGCGGCTCTCGAGCCGTGCTGCAGTTTGCTGACCACGGACCTAGTGCATCTGTAGAGGGAGGCACAGGGTGTGTGCAGCTGGAGCTGGGAGAAGGCAGCAGCCGACTGCTGATGGGGAAGATTTCACAGAAAATGGGCCGCTTCCGTTGGGCTTTGGAGGATGTGTAGGAGTTCACCAGGAGAGAAGGGGGGGGGGGAAGCGCTGGACACTGTCTCCAGGAACCAAAGGGGCTTGTCCTGGGCAGGCTTATGGCTCAGGAAGTGCAAGGAGGCACCGAGCAATGAGATGACCCAGCGGACGCGAATGGGCCGGCTGTTCATTGCAACAGGCAGGCCTGGGGGCAGAGGGCGCTGAAGGCGGAAGCGAGGGGAGAAGACCACCCCGGCGGAGACAGCGCCGCCCCCTTGCGGCCTCACAGAGCTCCGCCCCGCCACGCCCGGAGTGTGAGTGCGAGAGCTGGGCACTGCACAGCAACCCGTGTGCGAACCCCAACAAGAACCCCAACAAGTGCACAGGGCAGGGACCAGACACAAGGCAGACACACACAGCTCCCGCCTCGGGGTGAAAGCCAGGGACGCTCTGGGGTCGCGTGTGCGGCCCACGCCCAGGGGGTGGGCACGAGGCTCCTGAGGAGGGAGACAGAAGGGCCGGGGCTCCCCTGAGGCGGGGGAGGCCCCCAGCGTGTCAGGAGGGGCCGGGGCCGCCTCAGGGGACCAGCTCCCGCAGGACGGCCGTCCACGTCGGAGCCCAGAGGGGACCTCCGGCCGCTCCCCTGGGCCCAGGGCCCGAGGAGGGAGCCGGCTTCGGCAGGGGAAGGAGGGCCCCCCACAGGGGCTGGGATGGAAAGGGTGTGTCAGTGGCTGCTGTGGTCTGAGATCCGCCCGAGCCATCAGCCTTCCTCCCCGGAGACAGTGACCTTGAGGAGGCAGTGACCTTGAGGAGGCGGTGACCTTGAGGAGGCGGTAACTTTGAGGAGGAGGCAGTGACCTTGAGGAGCCAATGACCTTGAGGAGGCGGTAACTTTGAGGAGGAGGCAGTGACCTTGAGGAGGCAGTGACCTTGAGGAGGCAGTGACCTTGAGGAGGAGGCAGTGACCTTGAGGAGGCCGAGGCGGAGGCAATGGCAGGAAACACCCCTCCCTGTGAGGGGTGGGGAGTCAGGAAGGAAGTGACCCCTCTGAGATACTCGGACCCTCCCCACAGCAAAGCTGGACGCTCCGCTCACCCTCCCGCTCAGAAAGCAGCCGTCTCCGAGGGTGGGAGCCGGCTGAGGGCAGAGGCTCGCCCCGGGGGAGCCCCTCCTGGAGGCAGACCTCTGCGCCGGCCGCTGGCCGTGCCTCGCACGGGGCAGCTGCGGGCAGCCGGGCGGAGCTGAGAAAGGAGCCCCAGCGTCCGGCCCTGCACCCCCACCCGGCCGAGGGGAGGAAGTGCTCCGAGCTGCGTTGGAGCAAGAACTCTTTAAAAATAAACCTGCTCCTTCCGCCCGGCAGAGGCGATGGGAGAATCCCCCTCTCGGCCTCTCCGAGCTGCGTGAGTCTCGCCATCGGGGCCTGCACGGCCCCCGCCTCCTAGCGGGAGCTGGGAGGCATTTCGGGGGACCCTGACTTCCCCTCGGGGGCCCGCCGTGTTCCGGGGCTGGGCAGAGGTGAGAGGAGGGAAGCGGGGACTCTGGGACAGCCGAGGCCACGCGCAGAGGTGAGAGGTGGAGAGCGCGCTGGGCCCACCCAGGTCCCACCAGCGGCAGGGGGCGAGAACTTCCCTCTGTTAGGGTCACAGCTGCATCCCAGCTCCTGGCACCCTCCCGGCGGGCACTGAGGGGGCCATGCACGTCCGTGGGATCCGTGCGTGCAGCTGAGGAATGCTGGGAGAGGACCCCTCTGCCCCCCAGGAAGAGGAGTGGCCAGGCCGCCCTCTGTGCCCTCCGGGGTCCGCCATCCCGGGAGCAGCTGCGGGGGAGGAAAGGAAGCAAAGGCTCAGCAGGAGGAGGGCCCTCGGAGCAACGCGATGGCGCCGGGCTCGGGCTGAGGGCAGAGAAGTGCTCCTGCCCAGCAGGTGACCTCGGAGGGGCTGAGCTCGGGGCCCAGCCAGCCGCCCGCCTGCCCCTCTCCGCAGAGACACCACCTTGGAAGAGCAGATTAAGACAAAACACAAAAGTACAAGGCAGCCCATCCCTCCTTCGCACCGCGGCCTTTTTGTGGCCACTGAGGGGAATGAGCAATCAGAGGGAAAGACAGCCTCCGTGCCAGCGGGGAACAAGCCGTGAGCAGGGCGGAGAGGCCCAGGGTGCCGGCCGGCTCCCGGGAGGGAGGGAGGGAGGGAGGGGAGGCCGGAGGGGGCACCGGACCCGCCTGGAGCCCGCCCCCTCCCCCCACGGGGAAGTCCGGGCTGGGTCATAAACCAGGCCACATGCCCCAGCCCAGCACTGACCCGCCCGTGACCCCGAGCCACGTCCTTGGCATCTCGGGGCCTCAGCTTCCTCGTGCGAAACGGGACCGTCCTGGCTCCTGCCCAGCCAGCCGTCCCCACCCCGTTTCCCAGGTGGATCCCCCTCCGGGTCCCCCAGCCTCCGTCTAGCCGGTCAGCACACCGGGAGGAGGTTCCTCAGGGTTTAGGAAGGAAAAGCATCACCCTCGCTGCTCCACCGCCCAAGGCCCCGGGGAGGCCTGGGCCTGAGATGCGGGAGGTGAGACGGGCCGGGACGGACAAGGGGAACCCGGCTCCCACTCTTCCCTCGGGGCGGAGGGAGAGAAAGAGCAACTAAGCCCCCGGGACCTCCGCCTCGTCCCCTCAGCTCCTCCTCTGGGGAGCGGGTCACGGGAAAACACGCATGGCCTTCCCGTGTCGCTGACCACGCCTGCCATGCTCAGCCACAGGCAGCTCCCGCCCACGGCAGGGGTTGGGGAGCCCCGGCCCCGGTCCCGCCCCATTGGCTGAGCCAGGGGAGCCGAGAGGAGGGAGGCCCCGGGTGCCCTGGCCGGACGCAGACGGGATGTGGAAGCGACGGCTGCGGACGGACATCCGACCTCCCTGCTTCCTGCGGAGCCCTCAGGACCTGCCAGAAGGCGGGTGGATGACACGCTCCACCCCCTGGTACCCAGACGAAGCCAGACGTAGGAAGGAAGCACACGGCAACAGAGCCTGTGCACCCCAAAGCCCAAAGCCGGGGCGGTCCTTACCTGCAGATCGGTGTGGGAAGGCTCCCTCGGCGTCCCCGGCGGGACGGCTCGCGGACGAGGCCCTCAGCGGGGTGTCGGGGGCCGGGACGCAGGGCCAGCATCCTGCAGGGAGAAGCCCGGGGGCGGCGGTGAGGCTCCCGGCCACTCTGACCATGCGGCACCAGCCCCGCCCGGACACCGCCGAAGCCGGGCCTCGTCCTGAGCAACGAACGCCAGGGCCCGGGGACACGGCTGTGCCCAGAGGACAGGGCAGGGGACCTGGGCCCACACCCCGGCACCCGGCGCAGCGAGAGGTTTCTGACGACAAGAGGCCCCCGCTCCCAGCTCCGCCTCCACCTGAGGCCTCCCTACCGCCCCTTGGCAGGTGGGGGGCGTTGGGGTCAGCAGCTAGGGTGCCCGGGGCAGGGCACGGTCTGCATCGTGGGGTGAAGCAAATGACAGATTCCCACCCTCCCATCAGCCCCTGCACCCTGGCAGCGTGTGGCTGCAGACCCGGAGCCAGAGGAGCAGCCACAGCCGGGGAGAAGGTCCAGGCGTGGGCCTGCAGGAGTCCCGGCTGCCATCAGCCTCAGGCGGCAGGAGGTCCCCGCCCCGGACTCCCACAGAGACGCCCGGGCCCATGTCAGCAGCTCCACACATTGTCTGTCTGACCACGGAGCCCGTTCCTGTCCCAGGAAGCAGGCAGCCACCGGGAGGCCCTTCCCGGGACCAGGCCCAGAGGCAGCCCCTTCGAGCTGCAGGAGCGGGGACCGATTCACAGCTACCTCCTCCAGGCCGGAGGCCAGCTGCCGGGTCCGAGGGCCGGCTCGCGCTGCCAGGGGCCAGCAGTCCCGCCCGGTAAAAGAGGAGGGCCGGCCGGTGGCTGCAGGCAGCAGTCCACGATGAACCGCGAGTGAGGACAGACCGTGCTCGTTCGGGGGAGGGAGCGTCTAATTGGGGAGGTGAGGAGGGAGGCGCGGCCGTGGGAGGTGTGGCTGGAGCACAGGGACGGCTTTCACAGGCCGCCCCCGCCCGGCGCAGCCCACACGCCCACGCCGGGAGGCACCGCCAATTCTGCAAACTCCTTGCTGGGACGGGCCTGGTCGGGCTGCAGGAACCCAGCCCCCACATCGGCCCTGCACCCGCCCCTCCCATCCACGGCCATGGTCCCAACAACAATCACTACAAATGAGGATTCGCATGAACAGAACGTCCCGCGCCTCTCCCTCCACGCCGAGACCCACAGCTCCCCGCACACACGCCCTGCGCTGCCCGGCTCTCCACGCGGTTTCTCAGCTTCACCACAACCCCACCCCCACCCCCGCAGACCCATCTTCGAGGCCCCTGCAAGTCCCCCACGCTAGAGGTTAGGGTTGGCCCCGTAACACACCAGCCAAGGCGTGCTCCCCGGGTGAGAAGTCCACGCTGAGTCGCTGACTTGCTGAGTCGCTGACTCACGGCGCAGAATGAGCCGGGCAGGGCCAGGGAAAAGGCAGATTCCCGCAGGAGGTAGAGGTGCACACAGGGGAACCACTGCTCTGACAAAAGCGTTTCCAGAACAAAAAGTGAGCGAGGAGCCCGCCGAGGGAGGGAGCGGCTCCCTGCAGGCGGGCGGAACACGGCGGGGAAGAGAACAGGAGACGCTGCCAGGTGACCCCGCACGCTGATCCCCGCTCCCTGCAGGGGAGAGAGACAAAGAGAACACGGTCTGCGCTGAGGGCTGGGCTCGCTGGGGAGTCGGGGGGGGGGTGGTCCTGATACTAAACAACACACGTGTTTTGCTGTTCAGTGGGAACCAAAAAAAACACACATTTTATTCTTTCCTGCCCCTCCCCCCCATTGGATTGAAGCATAATTGTAATGTTGTACTATCTATAATAATAAGAGCATAATATGTCCTAACCGGTTTGGCTCAGCGGATAAAGCATCCGCCTGCGGACTGAAGGGTCCCAGGTTCGATTCCGGTTAAGGGCATGTACCTTGGTTTGGGGCACATCCCCAGCAGGGGGTGTGCAGGAGGCAGCTGGTCGATGTTTCTCTCTCAACATTGTTTCTGACTCTATCCCTTTCCCTTCTTCTCTGTAAGAAATGAATAAAGTATATTTTTTTAAAAAGAAAAGCATAATATGCTAATTAGACTGGATGTCCTTCCGGTCAACCTTCCGACTTCTCGGGGCTGCGAAGGAAGCCCGGGTCCCGGATGCCAGAGGGAAGCAGGTGCCGGCAGCCGGGGGAAGGAAGGCCTGCTCACAGGTACGTTGTGCGTCGGGCCTCTGGCGTTGTAATAAAATCGTAACAGGAAGGGTGTCCCAGGAAATGTTTACACAACTTCGAGGAATCTCAAAAGGCAGGGTTCATTCAAGCACAGGTTTCATTGTCAGCATCTGACTGTCGGCTGTCGCAGTGTGCGTGTGTTTTGGGGGTACGCCCTGCAGCTTGACCTGCCTCATGTGAGGACCTGCCATCCACATCCGTCCTGCAGAGGCTCCTCCCGTCCTGAGGGAGCACAGCCACCTCCCCCATAAGTACCATTCGTGGGGGGCAGGGAGGGCTGAGGCCAGTCCTGCTGTTGGCCAAGTTCACTCCCCAGCACAGCGCCCACCGGAGTTACGTCACACACCAGACCTCTCCTCCGAGTCTCCAGCCTCCCTCTTCCCGTGGTTTGGGAAACTTGGGGCGCAAACCAACCGACCGACCGACCGACCGACCGACGGCAACAAACACCAAACGGACCTCTGGCAACGGGACCCCGACTTCCTTCCTGAGGATCGTCCGGGGACTGTTCCCATCGCGTGCAGAGGTCCGTCTCTCATGCCGCTTCTATGAATAGGATACTGGCCTCTGCCCGGCCCCCTAAACAAATGCCAAACGCACTTAACGAATGCCGTCCTGACGGGGCGCCAGCCCAGGCGTGCCCAGACGTGCGTGTGCCTCAGGCTGCTGGAATGCCCGCGTCCCAAGCGAGCGGGTGGTGTGGCCGCAGTCAGACGTTTGTTTCCCTTCTCCGTTGGCATGGCGACCGGGAGGCAGGTGGCGAAAGCCTGGGCAGAGAGGGACGGAGGGCAGCATGAGTTCAGACACGAGTGTCCACCAGAAAGGGCTGTATCCAAGGTCCCTTATGGCAACCCATACTAGCAACAGGTTTCGTACACGACCAAGGATGCTGCTGTGTGCAGCCATTGCACACCAAGCCCCCATGGGGAAAGAGCGTGGTCGGCTTAATTGGCTGCAGCTGGACGTTTCTTATCAATGGGATCATACACGTGTCCGCTCTGTGTCCGGCATCTCTCACGCGGCTTCATGTTCTCAAGGTCCATCCACGCCGAAGCAGGGGTACGGGTCCCGTTCCTTTTCACAGCTGAGTTATATTCCTCTGGGTGGATGGACCCCCTTATCGAGTCATCCATGGTGCAACACTTTGGGGCACCCCAGGTGCCATGGAGAACACCGGGGACCCCCGGGTGACACCCCGAGCGCTACCACTTCTGAGCAGCTGGGAGGAAGGGGGGATGGCTGTCCCAGGCCCTCGCGCCCCCCATCCCACGGAGAAGCCAGGTCTCCCTGCTCCTCCCGCAGCCCAGAGTCCCCTGCACCTGCCCCCCACAGGCACCTTGGACCCCACGCCTGGGGCCGGCTGGCTGGATTTCTTATTCCTTGTTCCTTTCCTGCCAACGTGACCCCCCCTCCCCCCACCTTTTCCAGATCCTTCTCTCTGCTTTCTCGACAGACACTCTCCACGGACGCCCTCCTGCTCTCCCGGAGCCGGCGGAGGCAGCAGAGACCCTGGGGACCGGCGGAGAGGTCCGGGAGGAGGAAGCATTAGCCGGGCCATTAGCCGCTGTCAGGGCGAGGCTTCCTCCCGGCACGACCGAGCAGCCGAGCGGAGCCGGGGGGAGCCAGGGCCGGCCCCGCAGCGCGGGATGGGGAGGCGCACGGTTCACGGGGAGACGGCAGTTCACGGGGAGACACCCCCCCACACATGCACACACACACACGCCTAACAACACAGCAACACACAGCCCACAGCAGTTGGTGGCGTTATGTAAAATCCCAGGCGCACAAAAATATCGTTTGGATGATAAAAAGTTAAATTTAGCCGAGTACAGAGTGACTAATACTATGAAGGAGAGGCGGCCCCCCCCCATCCCCACCCCCCAGTTGCCTGGAGCTCCTACAGCTGGCTTCCAGAAACTTCTGACAAGTAACGGGCCTGGTGCGGCGCAGAATAACAGGTTATGTAACGGGAGGCACAGCCCGCCATCGCAGCAGCCTACCCCCCCCCCCCGACGGCCCCGGGCGCTGGCTGGGGTGGGCCCGAGGGGCCCTGGTGCCCGGGCACCTGGAGGCGGGGCCGGGCCTGGGTGGGCTGGTGCGAGGGTCCGCCTGCGTCTGCGGAGATCTCCCAGCACGGCTGTGGTGGACGGTGCCTTTGGGGACCCCACTCCACCATGAGCCACGGCCTGGGAATCCCGTCTGGCCCCGCGGCCTGTCCTAACTCATGGGGACACAGCGGAGGGGCCACCATGCCAGGCGTGGACCCAGGTCTTGGGAAGGCAGGGGCTCGGACGGGTATTAGCACACGAGCGCCCACATTCACAGCAGGACCCGGGGAAATGCGTGTGTGTGTGTGTGTGTGTGTGTGTGTGTGTGTTCCCGCGCGTGCGCACACGTGTCCGTCGATGTAGAGTGGATCAATGGGGTGTGGCCTCCAGCTGCCCCAGGGAATCCTACGCAGCCCCAAAGAGGAAGGAAATCTTATCTCACGGGTGGATTAGAGGGCTCTGCACCAAGGGAAAGAAGCGAGACACAAGAATGGACGGTCGCTGTGACTTCACTCACGTGAGGGACCCAGAGGGTCCAACAGGCAGAGGCAGGAAGTGGAACGGCGGGCACGGGGGTGGGGAGGGCCTGGCGGCCATGTTTCATGGGGACAGAGGGTCCGCTTCACAAGGTAAGAACAGAGTTCTGTGACGGGACAGGAAATGGAGTCCCGCATCCTGCAATCACACACGGAGCTCATGACGGGAGCGTCTTCATGCTCTCCATCCGACCTGCTTCCAGAACCCTTACCGCACAGCTCCACCTCCCCGTGCATCTCCCACCCGCAGGGGAGCAGGGCGCGG